CGGCACCCTTTGGAAATTTTTACAAATTTGTGGCACCCTACAAAATTTATTTGGTCACAATATTTGAATTTCTAACTTTGATATGATCATTTGAAAAGTATAGATATTTGGTATAACAGAGAAGAACTGCAGAATATAATGTCATACAGATATTTTTAATATTATTAAAAATCCGTAGGCTAATTTCTAATGAAGAGACCAATTTATATGACAGATTTTAATGTAGGCTTTTATTCATATGTACACATTGTGAGATAGTTATAATGGTAATTAAACAAAGTTTTGCTCACTCAGTGTATTTTTGTAGGGCTATTAAGAGATTTTTTTTACCAATTATTCAAATAATGTTTAATCTTAGAAAGCTATTATTATCAGAGGACACATGAACATAGTGGTTAGCAGATCAATGAATGAGAGGGCAGCGTTACCAGAGTTGCCCATATACCACACCATGTTACAACAACACAGTAGGGCTATTGCAGACAGAAACAATACTGTTTTTATTCGTCAACGATATTGCATTGTACATTTAATTATAGTCAGTCTTTACTGTCACTTTTGTTCAACTGAATGCGTCCTTGCTGGATGAAAGTATTCATTTAAAAAATAAAAGAATAAGTCAATGCAATGAACTTCAAAACATTAATTGCAAAACATTCAAATCTATTGACTGCCTTAATAACAACATCGAAATTGTGCTTAATTGTTTCCAGTTGTCATGTGATGTGAAGCTGGATCCCCGTCCGGAGTATCACCGCTGTATTTTGACATGGCACCATCAGGAACCTCTGCCATGGGCACAGAGCACAGGTAACACATTATATTAATATTATTATTATTACAGAAGTCTTGCAGAACTGACCTGCATTGTTTTGCCTATACATTGCTAGTAAATCACATGCATATGCGACAAAATTGCGTTAGGCAACTGAATGTTTGTCACTAACCATTGGCTAATAAATTGTTCAATTTCACTTTTTAATTTTAGTACAGATATATTTTTTACTTTGTTTTGTGTGCTATGACCACTTTAGTGTGCCTAAACTTTCTGAGTGAGCATTTGACAGGAAACAATATATTAGCTTGTTTACAAGTGTGTAAAAAGAGCCATGTTGCATGCCATGTTGATGCACTACATGTAAATTATATTCTTTCTTGATTTTTTCCTTTCAGAATGACAGTGTTTGTTTAGAATCATTCTTTGTTTTAGACTTTTTGAACAATTGTGCAGGTGCCATCCCAATGCTAGAGTTTACCAATCACCTTTGATTTCAGAAAATCAGCTTTAGTTTTTTATTATATTAGCTTTTATGAATATTTTTAATTACTTTTTATTTTCTGTTTTAATTTTAATTTTTTTTTATTTAAAAGTGTAGTACTTTTGTTGTGTGTTTTTGTCATTTTTAGCAGTTTTGGTATTTTTTTTTTTATGTTAATGTAGTTTTTATGTTTATTTCAATTTGAGTTATTTTTGTACAACAAGTTAAATTAAAAAGTAGAAATGGCATAGCAACTAAGTTTAAGGGTTTTTAATATTTTATTTTATTTCCATTACAGTTTCAATTATTTCAAGTTACAAAAATGATGTTTATGGTTTTAATTTAAACTATACACTCTAAAAAATGCTGGGTTAAAAGGGACAAACCCAGCTATTGGATTGTTTTGACCCAGCGGTTGGGGTGTTTTGAACCCAACCGCTGGGTTTGTCCCTTTTTAACCCAGCATTTTTTAGAGTGTAGTAACCCTAATCCATATATTTTCATGTATGGTTGCCATGTTTTAATTGTTAATTACTACATTTCTATCACTAAAAATGCTTGATTGCCTGTTGTTTCAAAAATGTATATTACACTCTAAAAATGCTGGGCTGTTTCAACACAACTTTGGGTCAAATATGGACTAACCCAACAGCTGGGTTAGTCCATATTTGACCCAAACTTGGGTTGAAACAACCCAGCATTTTTTAGAGTGCATGTAAAATATCTGTCATTTTGTGAAGAGAAGCTGATTTGATTTGGGATATATTTTTAAAAGAAATGCATAAAATAATATAAAAATATATTATACCCAGCGGTTGGGGGGTTTTGAACCCAACCGCTGGGTTTGTCCATATTTGACCCAAACTTGGGTTGAAACAACCCAGCATTTTTTAGAGTTCATGTAAAATATCTGTCATTTTGTGAAGAGAAGCTGATTTGATTTGGGATATATTTTTAAAAGAAATGCATAAAATAATATAAAAATATATTATTAATTTATTGCTGTTTAAATGTATAATTTATTAGTGTATATATGTCCTAATGCCAATGAGTGCGTAGAGGGTTGTTATACTCTCTTATTTTCTCTTACTGTGGATATAGCAAGATGCACGTTGGTTCCTCTGACATTAGTGGTTTCTGGTTTAAGGCAGTATATGTGACCCTGGAGCACAAAAGCAGTCATAAGCAGTGTTGGGGGTAACGCGTTACAAGTAACGCGAGTTACGTAATCAGATTACTTTTTTCAAGTAACTAGTAAAGTAACGCATTACTTTTTAATTTACAAGAGAATATCTGAGTTACTTTCTCCAAAGAGAAAGCAAAACTTGAAATCGCATCATATGACCCCTTTAAGTAAAGTTTTATTTCCTACTGTAAATATATTCAAATTTAATTTTTATTAGTAATATGCATTGCTAAGAACTTCATTTGGACAACTTTAAATGCGATTTTCTCAATATTGTGATTAGATTTTTTTTTTTTGCACCCTCAGATTCCAGATTTTCAAATAGTTGTATCTCAGCCAAATATTGTCCTATACATCAATGGAAAGCTTATTTATTCAGCTTTCAGATGATGTATAAATCTCAATTTCGAGAAATGTTTTGTGGTCCAGACTCCAGGCAGTGTCCCATATTTTCAAGCTTTTCTCCGTCTCGTCTTCCTCCAGGGAACCAGGTTAGCAGCAGACTCATGAGCATGCGCAGCGCTAACGGACTCCTGATGCTACCTCCCAAAACCGAGCAATACGTGGAGCTGCACAAGGGCGAGGTGGTGGACGTCATGGTCATCGGCCGTCTATGATGACAGAGGAGCGGGCCGAAGGACGGAGAGCAACGGGTGGTTCACGGTGCATGTTCACATATCATTGACTGTAATATGCAACGGCACAGCTAGTTTTTATTGATTTGGATAACGCTGAAGTATAGTCAACATCTTGATCACAAACCTAGATACATATGAGAAAAAAAATATTATTTCAAAGAAAGAAAAAAATATACTTTTAAATGATAAAATCTAATTATAAAAAGAGATTTATTCTGTATTATTATGAATTATTATTATTGCATTTTTCTTCTCATTATTATTAATTATTGTTATTATTATATTAAGGCAACTTTGTTCTTTTCATTGCAGTTGCTTTGTGTGTTCAATGCTAGATCTTATAGCTGTAGCATTTTAATAGAAACTGAAGGTGCCTGCCAGGAGAGAGAGAGAAAACAAAAAGATGAAGAACATTATTTCCCCGTCTTAACGCAAAAATAACTGCAAAACGAGCGCTTTTGTTTTTGGACGCGGGGAAGGAACTCGACAACTTGAAATCTGGACTCTGGAGGGTGGCACTTTTTGTCTTACGTGTCATTGACGTGACACTTTTACTTTTTCCTCCCATTATTTAGTACGCATCATTATGACATCACAAAGAGCTTTGCTTGTCGTTTATATCTCGTGAGTCTTGTTTGTGTGCGCAGTGCCAAACGCGTGGGTGCACAAAGGTCGTGCGCGGGGGAACACAGACCTGGTCGCCCAATCCCTGAAGCTTCCTTATAATCACATGACCTGGTGTAGCCCCGCCCCCGTCCCCCCAGGGAGCGGAGTCACAGGTGAACATTTTATTTGAATACACTTTAAAAAAGACGAGGAAAAAAAGAAACCACAGCTTATTTAAGTGCTGACTGCCTTTTTAATCAACTACACAAAAATGTACAGTAAAAAACGAACAATTGAATTGTACAGATAAATGTGACCAGCACTCCTGCGGAATATGACCAAGCAATGAGGAGACATTGAACAAATCTGTATAATAACATTTTCTGTAACGATAAGAACCTAATGAGAGAGAATACAATAATAAAATCCTTGATCATTATATAAAAATAGCATTGTGGAATTTTCTTGTAATAAAATGAATAAAAACATAATTCCTTAACGTGTGGGATTTAAATGTCTTTTTGTTTTGTTTTTTGCATTTCATGTTCTACTGATTAACTGATCTCTGCAGTGTTTTGGACAGCTGATCTTTAATGGTTTATTTAACAATTTCATTATAAATGTCAGATATTAGTCTGGAATCAGATCGGGGTTGTAGTTATAGAAAAGCATAATTTTTCACACAATAACATTGGTAATAGAAAGGAAAACTTGAAATCGCATCATATGACTCCTTTAAGTAAAGTTTTATTTCTTAATGTAAATATATTCAAACTTAATTTTTATTAGTAATATGCATTGCTAAGAACTTCATTTGGACAACTTTAAATGCGATTTTCTCAATATTGTGATTAGATTTTTTTTTTTTGCACCCTCAGATTCCAGATTTTCAAATAGTTGTATCTCAGCCAAATATTGTCCTATACATCAATGGAAAGCTTATTTATTCAGCTTTCAGATGATGTATAAATCTCAATTTTAAAAAAATGACCCTTATGTCTTAGGTTTTGTGGTCCAGACTCCAGGCAGTGTCCCATATTTTCAAGCTTTTCTCCGTCTCGTCTTCCTCCAGGGAACCAGGTTAGCAGCAGACTCATGAGCATGCGCAGCGCTAACGGACTCCTGATGCTACCTCCCAAAACCGAGCAATACGTGGAGCTGCACAAGGGCGAGGTGGTGGACGTCATGGTCATCGGCCGTCTATGATGTCACGGCAGTGGGGCCGACGGGCGGAGAGCGACGGGTGGTTCACGGTGCATGTTCACATATCATTGACTGTAATATGCAACGGCACAGCTAGTTTTTATTGATTTGGATAACACTGAAGTATAGTCAACATCTTGATCACAAAACTAGATGCATATGAGAGAGAAAAAATATTTCAAAGAAAGAAAAATATACTTTTAAATTATAAAATCTAATTATAAAAAGAGATTTATTCTGTATTATTATGAATTATTATTATTGCATTTTTCTTCTCATTATTATTAATTATTGTTATTATTATATTAAGGCAACTTTGTTCTTTTCATTGCAGTTGCTTTGTGTGTTCAATGCTAGATCTTATAGCTGTAGCATTTTAATAGAAACTGAAGGTGCCTGCCAGGAGAGAGAGAGAAAACAAAAAGATGAAGAACATTATTTCCCCGTCTTAACGCAAAAATAACTGCAAAACGAGCGCTTTTGTTTTTGGACGCGGGGAAGGAACTCGACAACTTGAAATCTGGACTCTGGAGGGTGGCACTTTTTGTCTTTTTGTTTCCTCCCATTAGTACACATCATTATGACATCACAAAGAGCTTTGCTTGTCGTTTATATCTCGTGAGTCTTGTTTGTGTGCGCAGTGCCAAACGCGTGGGTGCACAAAGGTCGTGCGCGGGGGAACACAGACCTGGTCGCCCAATCCCTGAAGCTTCCTTATAATCACATGACCTGGTGTAGCCCCGCCCCCGTCCCCCCAGGGAGCGGAGTCACAGGTGAACATTTTATTTGAATACACTTTAAAAAAGACGAGGAAAAAAAGAAACCACAGCTTATTTAAGTGCTGACTGCCTTTTTAATCAACTACACAAAAATGTACAGTAAAAAACGAACAATTGAATTGTACAGATAAATGTGACCAGCACTCCTGCGGAATATGACCAAGCAATGAGGAGACATTGAACAAATCTGTATAATAACATTTTCTGTAACGATAAGAACCTAATGAGAGAGAATACAATAATAAAATCCTTGATCATTATATAAAAATAGCATTGTGGAATTTTCTTGTAATAAAATGAATAAAAACATAATTCCTTAACTTGTGTGATTTCTTTTTTCTTTTTCTTTTTTACATTTTATGTTGTGCTGATTGACCATTGCATGCAAATTTCAGATATTATTAGTCTGGATTCAAATCTGGGTTGTAGTTATAGATAAACATCATTTTTCACACAGTAACTTTGGTAATTGTGTTCAATGGCTGAGATTGATGGATATTAACAATTTGGGGAAACAGTTGTTATAGAAATAAGATTTTTTCAAATATTTACTTATTAAATAATATAAAATATTTTAAACCATATATATATATATATATATATATACATATATACACACAATACACACACTTTTTATTATTAATCTAATATGAATATATTGATAATTTTTTTATGTATATATTACAAAAATATATATATAAATGTGTGTGTGTGTGTGTGTGTGTGCGCATGCGTGTGTGTGTGTGTGTGTGTCTTAATTTTAATGTAAACTTTATAATTATATCAATATATCAATATACAACAAAATATTAATTTACAGTTTATAGTAATATATATGATTCATATATATCATATATGTATCATATTATTATAATATTACTAACATACTGCACATCATGCTATCTCAATTTTATTTTAGATCATTTATCTGACTTTATTACTCCAAAGAATATGAGATTTATTAGCAAACTTGATTTATATACAAATTTGTAGCCTGTATAGTTTGTGAAATATGAATGAAAATGAAGAGGGTGAATTATATGTTTAGTTGACGGTCAGATGTTGGTCAGACTCGTGCTCTGTCGGGTTTAGAGCAGATTATTGAACTCATCAAGTCACCGCTCATCCACATTTAGCCTCAGACGCCTGAGCTGTGAACACTCACACGTCCACTGGACCTGAGTGAAAACACCACTGGAATCACTGCTTTCTTCCCCATCAGCGGCTGAGAGAGACCTGCCACATGCACACAGTGAGTAATGGCTTTATCAGGATAGAGTCAGTAGTTTTGTTTGTATTTATAGTCATTGACTCTGCTTTGATGTTGGGCTGCTGTATGTTAGTGTTTGGTCACAGAAAGGTCAAAGGTTCGAACCCCACAATGGTTGATACATTAACTGTCCACACTGTGTTCATCTGTCAGCTTTGCATTAAAAATGCATTGAAATTGAAGTGAGATTAAGCTGTGCATGAGCATCAGTGCAGGTCAGGAAGGACTAGAGGAAAACGTGCGAGAGCTTAATAAGTTTATCTACATTAGTGGCTCTTAAAAGGTCTCAGGGGTCAATTACTGCTGTATTTATCGAAACTGTTACAGGTGGTTTAAAAACCGCATGCTATGAAGTGAAAAGCTCAAATGAGCTGATCAGAATTCAAAATTTCACTCAATCCCTCATATAAAATGAGCGATTGTACCTTAAGTTTCTGTCAAAATACCATAGTTACTCACAGAAACTTGCTTTCTGTCATTTCATTTTTTTAATATTTATTATGACAGTGATGCTAATATCATGTTTGGACAGTTTTATAAACAATTCTCACATAGAAATGGCAAGTGACGTTTTATTAAATATGACATTTAAAGGCAAGAAAAACTGAAATAGTAGCTATATACTCAAATAATCATTGTTTTATTATATACACACAATACACACACTTTTTATTATTAATCTAATATGAATATATTGATAATTTTTTATGTATATATTACAAAAATATATATATAAGTGTGTGTGTGTGTGTGCGCATGCGTGTGTGTGTGTGTGTGTGTGTCTTAATTTTAATGTAAACTTTATAATTATATCAATATATTATAATACAACAAAATATTAATTTACAGTTTATAGTAATATATATGATTCATATATATCATATATGTATCATATTATTATAATATTACTAACATACTGCACATCATGCTATCTCAATTTTATTTTAGATCATTTATCTGACTTTATTACTCCAAAGAATATGAGATTTATTAGCAAACTTGATTTATATACAAATTTGTAGCCTGTATAGTTTGTGAAATATGAATGAAAATGAAGAGGGTGAATTATATGTTTAGTTGACGGTCAGATGTTGGTCAGACTCGTGCTCTGTCGGGTTTAGAGCAGATTATTGAACTCATCAAGTCACCGCTCATCCACATTTAGCCTCAGACGCCTGAGCTGTGAACACTCACACGTCCACTGGACCTGAGTGAAAACACCACTGGAATCACTGCTTTCTTCCCCATCAGCGGCTGAGAGAGACCTGCCACATGCACACAGTGAG